TGACTCCTCCCCCTCTTCTTTCTACCCTCCTTTGCTCCCCATCAGCTTCCCCGTCTCCCTCCTCGTCCTCATCCTCCTTGTCGCTCTCCTCACCCCATAAGCGCGCTCCTCCCCCTCCCCCTCCTCCTCGTCGTCCTCCTCCTTCCCCTCTCTGTTTATCACACGCGTTCCTTCTCTCCGTACGTGCGTGTATACTGCATCTCTCTCTAACTATCTCCTCCTCTCGCTCTCCCTCTCCCTCTCTCTCGATCTCGCTCCCTCTCTCTCCTGCGGCCTCATCCTTCTCCTTCCACTTCTCCTTGTTCACCTGCGTTTCCTCCTGCACCTCTTCTTCCTCCTCCTGCTCCTCCTCCTCTTCTTCCTCCTCCGTCTTCTCCTCCTCCTCATCCTCCTCCACCTCCTTCTCCTCCTCCTCCCCATCCTCCTCCTTGCTCCCCTTCCTCCCGCGCGCGCTCCCCTACGCACTGGAGGGGGGTTGGGGAGATTGAGCAGAAGGGGGGGGGGGATGAAGAGGGGGATAGGATAAGGGAGAAGAGGAGGAGGATGAAGACGAGGATTTAGCAAGAGTAATGGTGATGATTACCGTAGGGGCTCGACCACCCGAAACATTCCATAAGACGCACAATTGAATTGTTGTATGGGAACGTCACGCTTCCCGCAGCAGCACCATTGGCACCCAAGACACCCAGGGCACCCTGGAGGCAAGGAGGGTGTTTCTTGGCATGGGTTCCCACTGTATGACGACGACGGCGACGATGATGGTGGGTGCTGTTGCTGTTGTAGTGGGCGACGGCGAGAATGATGATGGTGCTTATGATAATGATAATGAGACTCATAACGACGACAGCCACGACGATGACGACGACGATGATGATTACGTCATTGACGATTATGGTGATTATGATGATGCTGATGATGATGGTGAGTATAGCTCTGGTGGAAGTGATGATGATGGTGATGGTGGCGATGACGATGACGATGCCAACGACGATGATGATGATGATGATGATGATGATGATGATGATGATGATGATGATGATGATGATGATGATAATGATAATGATAATGATGGCGATAACGATGTGAATGAGGACGGTGATGATGCTGCTGCTGCTGATGATTGAGGCTGATGCTCATTATGATGATGATGATGATGATGATGATGATGATGATGATGATGATGATGATGATGATGATAATGATAATGATGGCGATAACGATGTGAATGAGGACGGTGATGATGCTGCTGCTGCTGATGATTGAGGCTGATGCTCATTATGATGGTGACGGTGGTGATTATGATGATGATGATGATGATGATGATGATGATGATGATGATGATGATGATGATGATGACAACGCCACGACGACGCTGCTGATGATCCGCCCCCCGGTGGTGGACGGCGCGCAAGGCGCAACTGGCATCCGCCGACCAAGGCCGGCCGCCGGACCCCCGAGCGCTTCCCAGGGGGCGCCAGGGCAGCGCGCCAGGGCAGCGCGCCAGGGCAGCGACGTCGACCGCGCCGCCCTGGGGACCGCGTCGTGTCCCCCTAGAGGGGGATTTTGAACGAAAAATCAAAAAAACAAAAATGATCAAAAATTTGCAAGAATAGCCAAAAAATTGTCCCCAGTCTATTTTTAGACTATTTTCGAATTTCCCCCTGGAGAGGGACAGGCCCGACTTACTGCTGGAGCGGATTCGTCCGTGGCGACCAGGCGGACCCTGGAGGGGGCGGCGGGGGAGGACGAGCGGACGATGGAGGTCAACGACGCCGACGTCCTCGGCGTCGACGTCCTCGGCGACGACCGCCGCCGACGACGAGGACGTGGACGCCGAGGACGACGAGGACGTCGACGCTGGCGTCGACGTCCGACGACGCCGAGTGAACGAGGTCGACGGCGACGACGTCCTCGGCGTCGATGTCCGCCCCGGCCTGGATCAGCCTCTGCACCAGCTGGAAGTCGCCGCTGTACGCTGCGTGGTGCAGCGCGGTGCGGCCCATGATGGCGTCGGAGGCACGCACCTGCTCAGAGGCCCTGTATACAGATATATCTATACGTATATATATATATAGATACACAACTGCCAGCGTGGACCCCGTGGTACCATCCATGTGGTGCAGACTGTGTGAGGTACAATGCAACGCAAACCCATGCAAAGCAATGCAAAGGAATGCGAAGCAGTTTACAGCGGCGCAAAGCAATTCGAAACAATGGAAAGCAGGTCCACGCAACGCAAAGCAATGCAAGGCGCAGCCATGCAGTATAAAGTGAAGCGCAGAACTGATGCAATGCAAATCAATGCAATAGCGATGCAAGGCAATGCAAAACAGTGCACAAGCGATGAATCGCAACGCAGCGCAATGCGACTGCTACGCAGTGCGATTGCAACGCAAGCGATGCGGAGCGATGCCAAGCGACGCACGGCACTGAAAAGTAGTGGGAAGCCGTGCAAGCCAGGACGACAGGCGGCGCCGAGGGGACGACGGGGCGGCGACGAGGCGGCGACGGCGACGACAAAGCCGCGAGCCCGCCAGACAGGCCCAGTTGCTCAGGCGAGAAGTACGAGCCCCTAAGTGCAGGCACTATTTTGGAGATATGTGCATGTATGTATATGAATACATATAAACATATAAAGGGCATGCATATGTATGTCTACGTGTGCGTATCTATGTATGTGTATATGAAGGTAAAAGACTGTATTGGCGTTTCGCGTCATGTACCTTGGTCTTTGAAGCTTAGCATGCCGGCGAAGGGCAGGAAGGTAAAACAGACAAGTTAACGATAACGCCTTGTTGAATTTTCGGGCATCGCCGCTACAATCATGTTATTCATTGTCCTTCCCTCATGCTCCCTCTTCCTCTTCCCCCTTCTCGCCCTACGCTGCAAATTATTCCCTACCCTCCTCAGCCAGGCTCATCCTTGGAGAGCATTTCGGGGGCAAGACGAACTTTTGTAAGGCCTTCTTGCGGCCTTCTGGGGGCCTCCTCGGCGACTTCTGAGAGCCTCTGGGGGGTTCCTCCTGCCATCTTGTTTCCAACAGCGGTGTCTCTGAACGACCGGGTCACGACTTGGAATGCTTCGGGGAGCGTCCTGGGGCCATCTTCTTCCGTCATGGTGCTCCCTTCGGGCCATCTTGAACACCTTGTGCCGTCTTGGGGCTCTCCTGGACTGCCTGGAAGCCCTTTCGGATACTTTCAGGTGGTTTTCGGGCCTCCTGGGCGGTCTCGGACGCCCGGAAGACCGAAGAACAGAGCATCCCCAAAATTTGCAAAAACCATTGAACGTCAATATCTTCTGCGTTTCGAGAGCCTGTTGGGGGTCTCCGTTGGGTCGTCTTCGGGCGCCTGCTGGGTGTCTTGGGTCTCTTGGGGCCCTCGGGGGGCCGTTCGGCCGCCCTCCTGGCCGAATTGGGTCCGTTGCTTAGGCCCAGGGGATCCTGGTGGGCGTCCTGCAGGGGCGTCCCTGGGGCCCCCGGGGCCACGGATCTGGGGGTCCAGTTTCGGGGGGGGGGGACTTCCACCCTCCCCTCCCGCCTCGCGGGCTTGCAGAAATGCAGGAAGAGGAATCTGGCAACACCCCCCGAGTCCTACCTCGTGGGAGTCTGTGAATTGAACGTTCAAGGCGTCTTCCTCTCCGCGCATCCTCCTAGCCACTCTTGCTTGACAGGAGGGGGAATGAGAAGCAGGATGAGACGGATTGGTGGAAGAGAAGAGGATGGGATGGCGAAGGGAAGATAACTACTGGGATCCTGGGGGAATGTTCTAACTCTTTACCAATCGCAGCCAAACGCTGCTATGTCCTCAAATTCAAAAGAAATCCCCAGGCAAATGACCACCAAACAATGTTATGTTCTATAGTTATGATAACTCCTATGGTTCGATCCGTCCCGCAAACTTGTAGGATCGCCTGAAGATGGTTGCGGGAGTCATCGGAATTTTAGGAATTATAAGTCATGCCCGTGTGTTTGCGTTTGTTGTGTTCGGATGTCTCAGGTATTACAGAATATATCAATGTTTGGTAGCCCTTGGCAAAGAGCAGAGTTAGGGTATCCTCCCCATCCCAATAACCATTGTCATTCCCTCCCTCCTCCTCTTCTCTTCCGCCAAGCCGTGCTGTCCTGCTTATCATCCCCCTCTTCTCAATCGAAGAAGGGCGAGGAAGAGGCCAGGAGAGAAAGACGTCTTGAACTTTCAATCGAGAACCCCCCACTGGGTGGCTTCTAGCCATCGGGAGCCTTACGAGACTTAAAAAACTACCAGGGTTTAGGGGCCTGAGCTCTTCAGCATGCGTTAGAGTCCTCAGGGGTAGTAGTGTTTGGAGGAGAGGTGGGAGGAGGAGGAGGAGGAGGAGGAGGAGGAGGAGGAGGAGGAGGAGGAGGAGGAGGAGGAGGAGAGGAGGGAGGAGGAGGAGGGGGCGGAGAAGGATGAGGAGGAGGAGGAGGAGGAGGCGGAGAAGGAGGAGAAGGGGAGGATCTTCAGGAGGAGGTGGTGCAGGAGGAGGAGGATGGACCAGGGTGCAACGCCCACCACTCGATACAGGCGCCCAAACGCGTCATCTTTGGGTGCAACGCCCATTACTTCCAAATGCAAGGCCATGTGCGCTCTGGGTGCAACACCCACCTCGTGTGCAACGCCCGTTACTATCACGAGTACTGCCATGTGCCCTTCAATTGCAAAACCCATGTCGGGTGCAATGCTCACCCGTGCAAAGTGCATTCGATGTCTTGTGTGCTGCGAGTGCAAGACCTAAAACGGTTGCAACGCCCCCAGAGAACCAAAAGCAGGAGGACGAAGGAGAAAGAAGACGGAGCGGGTGAAATGTCTAACACGGGTGCAACGCCCATTCGTGTCGGGTGCCATGCCTTGTGCTCCGCGGGTGCGCAACCCAAAACGGGTGCAACGCCCATTCATTTCAGGTGCAATGTCTTGTGTCGTGCGGGTGCAAAACCCATGCCGGGCGCAACGCCCACTCATGCCAAGTGCAATGCCTTGTGTGCTGGTGCGGGTGCGAAGCCCGCGGCCATGTGGCCGCGTGTCATTCCAGTGCTCGGCCTTGCGTGGCCGTGGCGTAGCAACTACCCCCATGTGTATACCGCAGATCTCCTGGGGCGCAACGATCTCTTCTGTCCATGCGCATGCCCAACACCCCTTCGCTTCCTGATAACACCTGCCCATCATCCAAATCCGTAGTTGTTGTGACTCAGCGCCTTTCCAATTCCAGCTGAATATACACAAGCTGAACACACACAGACACACACACATACTGATTGTTTGTCCTCGTGCGCTGTAAAAATGCTTCCCGTGGCCATGGCCATCGGCTCCCACGAGAACCAGCACCCAATGAAAACTGGCATCCCCCAAGCCGACGTGACCATTGCGAACTGGCATTTCATCGACGTCTTTGACGGTGCCCCGGCATTGCTGACTCTTGGGGTTGCCGAGAGAACTACCCATGGGAGCTCAGGAACGCGAAGCTAAGCAACAACCCCTAAGTGTAAGTAAGCACTGTTTGGGGAAAATCGCCCAAGATGTGCGCGACAATCCCTGGCCAACTCGACGATGCGGCAGCAGCAGTGCGAATCGAGGGTAGCCAGGCGAACCAGGACAGCTACACAAACCGACCTGTGGTAAGCAAGTGTATGCAGAATGCAGCCGCCCCTGTGAGAAAGCTAACGCGCAAATACAGACTGTTGCAATCTAGTGCCGAAATGCAGTCGGACCTAGGCCATAATCACAGCCCTCGAGGACACGAGACCCTCTGCTGGCCACGCTGAAGAACGATCGAGGGCACCCTGCCCCCAGGATGCAGACGAACGCCCAGCACACACGGAGAACACAATAAGGTAATCCCCGAGCCGATCTTGATCTCACTCCCCGGCCAGGAACCCCGCTTTGCAAGGACTAGAATTAAGTCGGGCCTGTCCCCCTACAGGGGGATTTTGGGCGAAAAAAACAACCCAAACATACTCCAACAATATTCAACAATAGCCAAAACATCTTCCCCCCCTGTTGACTGCTTTTGAATATGCCCCCTGTAGAGGGACAGGCCCGACTTACGACCAGAAGGAATGAAACGAAGCGGTGCTGAAATAAAAGTTGACCAACGACCAGCACGCCGTAGAAAGAGATCGACCCTTCCTCCATGCAGCTCCTGCACACGTGTTTGGGTCCCTGGTCCACAACAGCCCAGCGAAGTCCCGATCACGTGGAAGTCTTCGGCGACATGTCCCAGCTTCGAACAGGCGCCGCCCTCCATCTGTTCAGCCACCGAGGTATGTTCAGACGAATGCGCGCGGGGCCAGGACGAGAAACACATGTTGCTAAGGAAGCGCCCCCCGTCCGTGCAACTGCTTTTAACTTTGATTGGGCATGTTCGCGGCGCCAAGGCGAGTCCCAACTCGAAAACGGCCCGCCCTTCATCGGTGTGACTGCTGGAAGTTTTAACCTTCAAGGTCGCAAACGATGAGAACATCTCAACCGAAACGCCCGGACCGCCCTACCGACAAATCTGTACGGAACGACCCGGACCGGACCGCCCGGGGAGGAGGGGAGGGGGGAGGCCGAGCAGAACGGAGGAGGGGGGAGCCCCTCCCCCTCGCAGAAGAAGCCCCCGAGCGCGTCGTGGGGGCGAGGGTGAGGTGGAGGGCGAGAGGGAGGGAGGAGGAGGAGGAGGAGGAGGAGGAGGAGGAGGAGGAGGAGGGGGAGGAGAAAGAGGAGGAGGAGGAGGAGTCGTGTACGGAACAGGGATGTCGGAGGACGTCGAGGTTGAGAAGGGGACGAGGACGGGGAAAGACGACGCCACCCCTGGAAAGAGGGCGCCACCCCTCTCCCTCCCTCCTCGTCCCTCCTCCTCCTCCTCCTTCTCCTTCTCCTTCTTCCTTCCTCGAATTTCCTCATCCTCCCTGCTCCATCTCGCTCTTCCTTGCTCCTCCATCTTCCCTCCTCCTCCTCCTTCTGCCTACTCCCCCCTCAGAGTCCCTCTTTCCCCTTCCCTTGCGCGCGCGCCGCCGCGCGAAACAAAGCGAGGGAGCGAGGTGGGGAGAGGACACTTGCCATCGCTCGGACGTCCATACCCTGTGCGTTGTTTGATTTCGCGCGTGCATGTTTCGCAAGATGGTCCAAGATGCTCCTCAATGGCCCTCGCCAGGGCAAAACTGGCCCACGCCCGAGCGATGCCGAGGACAAGAATGAGGGTGAGGGCGACGATGACGATGAATGTGGTGATGAGTAGGCCCAGGCGTCCGTTTGGGACCCATCCTGCGCTCTGGACGTCTCCCCTTCGGTGTTTCATGGCACTTTGGGAGGTGGAACTGCACGGTTTCTCCCAGGGCCGTAGGCGACCCGAGGAGGAGGAGGAGGAAGAGGAGGAGGAGGAAGAGGAGGAGGAGGAAAAGGTGGAGGAGGGGGAGGGGGAGGAGGAGATGGAGGAGGAGGAGGAGGAGGAGGAGCAGGGGAGGAGGAGGAGGAGGAGGAGGAGGAGGAGGAGGAGGAGGAGGAGGAGAAGGGAGGAGCAGGAGGGAGGAGGAGGAGGAGGAGGAGGAGGAGGAGGAGGAGCGAGGAGCAGGATGAGGAGGAAGAGGAGGAGGAGGAGGAGGAGGTCGGGTCGCCGAAGCCATTCGGAGAAACCCTCCAGGTGGAACATCCTCTGGGCCCTCCTCCTGCTGCTCCTCCTGCTGCTGACCTTCTGCTTCCTCCTCGTCTTCCTCATCCTACTTCTTTTGCTCCTCTTCACCCTGCCCGCCCTCTTCCCTCCCCTATCCTCCTTCTTCCTCCTCCCTCCTCCTCGTCTTCCTCCCTCCTTGTCTACCCTGCTCCCTCCATCTCTCCTCCCTCCCTCGTCCTCTTCCAGTACCTCTTCCTGTTCGTCCGGACCTCCGAGGCCAACATGTCTTCGCTGGGGCCGTCGGCGTCTGGCCGGTCGCACCACAGGTCGCGGTCGAGGAAGGCGGCAGCGAGGCCGCGGAATCTGTCCGTGGTGGTACCGTGCATGAAATCCTGCAGGTGGGCACCAACCAGGGCTGGCCCTGAACGGTGCTCTTCGTCTCGTTGTCCGATGTGTCTTTCGAGTGGCTTCTGCCTCTTCCCCCGGGCCCCTCTCTGCCAGAATGACAGGCCAAACGAGACCCGAAATCCAGCACAACATCGCTCAGGCCCAGCCCTGGCGCCAACTGCACACCTGCGCGCGGAAACGACTTCTCGACGCTGGCACTGCTCGGACAAGCTGCGAGAGCGGGCGACACACGAGGGCTTGAGGCCCCTCTATGGGGGCCCCAGACCTGGCCAACATCGGCGCGCTCCCCCCGACACGCTGACCGCTGCCTCTCCGGCTTGATTCCATCGGCCGTGAGTTCGGCCGGCGCCCACCTGCAGTGGAGGCTAGTCCACGAGACACCTTCCACAAGAAGCCCAACCCTGAGACCCCAGGACGTCCATTGATTTCTGGTGTGGTGACGTCACGCTTCCCATGGCAAACCCATCGAAACCTAAGAAACGCAGGGCACCCTGGAGGCAAGCAGGGTGTTTTTTTGGAATTGAGCCACTCTGCACCGCTTGCTGGCAATGCCAGTCGGGCGCATCCACCGATCGGGGAAACGTGAGACTCGGGTTCGGGGGACTCGGGTTGGCCGGACGGGGCCATCATCAAAACGACGAGACCCCATCTGAATTTTGACGCGAACTCCCGCTGCAAACTTCCCAGGAAAACCGGACCGTCAAAATCCAGGACGCGCCCATCAAAAAGCGTCGGCAAACCCGGGTTCCGGCGCACTCGAGTCTTACGATTCCCCGAACCGATTCCATGGGCCGAATGTGGGCCCTATCAGGGTCGGTGTGCGTGCATACTCGACGCCCCCCCCTGGGGTGTCCGTCACCGCGGCGTGGACGGTGTTGCACATGACCGCCATGCGCAGGGACTGAGGCCCGTCGAAGGGGTGCTCGATACCAAGGCCGAGGTCGTTGATGCCGACCAGCGCCCACGACACGGCCAAGACCACCGCGGGCGTATACCAGCCGAGGGTGCGGCAGAGGCCGAACGGCAGCGTCACCAGCCAGAGCGTCAGGAAGCGGGTCGTGTGCCGGACGTAGCTCTGAGGGATGGGCGTCTGCACCAGCTTCTCGCCCTGGCCGACGACGCGGATGAGGTCCCTCGCCTTGCTGCCCATGTCGCTGCGCTCCCTGTTGGTGAAGAGCAGGTCCTCCGAGTTCGGGATCTGCGTGATCTCCTGGAGCAGGAGCTGCGTGACGCGGGCGGGGGGGCAGCACGACGCCCGGATGAAGGACTCGTCCTTGGGGACGAGGCGCCAGAGCGGCAGGATGTGCTTGGTCTTCCTCGGGCCCACCACGTACTCCGTGAGGGTCACCGCGAAGGCCGAGAGCAGCGCGCTGATGCGGCGCACCTTCCGCGGGCCGACGTGCCCCTCGTGGGCGTTTATCATGGCCGCCACGTCGCGTGATGCGCTCACTGTTCGCTCCCACATCTTGCGGCCCTCCCAGAAGCGATTGTTCGCAGAGTTCGTCCGGTAGACCAGCAGCAGGCCGAGGGCCGAACCCAGCAGCCCGTGCACAGCTAGGGGCAACTCCATCACCGCCCCGGTGAACTCGCTCGCCGTCGTGACGACGAACGCCCACCCAGTGAAGGAGAGAACCACTGGGGCTATCCGCTTCCACAGCTTCGACTGCGGCCACCTGAGCAGTACGTGCCACCAATCGCGCGTGGTGTACCGCATGGGCTGCGGGATAGCGCAGCCAGGACGGAAGACCACCTCGTCGACGTCGTAGCTGCCGTCGCTATCGTCGCAGAAACGGGGCGAGCTTGCCCTCGGCTCCTCCTGCGATTCCGGGAACATTGACAGCGGCCCCCAAGCCTAGAGGAACAGAATACGGCATAAGTGTAAGCTTCCAGAGGTCCTCGCGGACATCTTGGATCGGCACTTGGTGTCCCCTGGCGGCGCCTCTGGCGCCGCCGCTGGAGCGCTTCGCGCGCCAGTGAGGGGGGCCCATCGCCAATGCAAGAAAACCCGTGCAGACCGCTGTTGGCTAAAAAAGCAAAATGAGAAGACCAGACATCGAAAACTGATGTCATGATTCGAATGGCCCAGGATACGTTCGTTCCAGGAGTTCAGGAGAATCTAGCGGCCCTTTTGATAGAGCTGGGGCGGAACAAGTGGAGATCATGAAACCGTGGAAATGCTGAAACGTATCTTTATCACTATTTCTTGCTCCTGTGAGTTTTTCCTTCTCCGAGAGCGCCAGCTGAAGCGGCAGCGCCGCCTCCAGGCTCGAGGGCATGCCGTCCCGCCGCCGCACCCTGCTGAGGGGAAACGTTCGGGGTGGACCAGCTGAGGGGGGAAACATCGAGCTCGAATCGGCGGTGCATCGCCGATGCGCCCTCGACAGCGAAAGCGCACAGCCCTGAGGCTGGAGAACCGCAGAGAATCGACGGAAACGCCCGCAAACCTCGAACCTCGAGGCCTATCCCCCTCTGACGTGGCCCCCGACATCGTGATTTTTCACAACGTCGACCCCCAGAGGTCTGGGCCCCTTCCTTGGGGCCGGTTTTCCTCCCGAGTCGTTATTTGACGGCCCCGAGGCCCGGGAAGGGCCCCCAGAGGCTGAAAATAGCGAAAAGCCCCCGTCGTGCGATTTTCGCAAGGCCAGGACCCTGAAATCCGACGTCTCGAAAACATTGAAACATCGTGAACAATCACAACCGGAACCCTAGACCCCATCTGTCTGCGTAGTTTCTCGAACCCGATCGATCTGTAAGGATCGCGGGGCCCGAACAAAGAAAAAAAAAAAAGCCGGCTCGAAAAAACTGAATCGCCAGGATCTCAGCAGAGACATGCGACGTCCTGATTTTTTCAATGCGGGATCCCTGGAATTCCCGACCCTTTCCCCGGGACCGTTATTTTTGTCCCGAATCGTGTGTTGACGGTCCCGAGGCCTGGCGAGGGCCCCCCGAGGCCGAAATTGGCCCAAACCCCCCCGCCCTGATTTTTTTCACGACGCGATCATGCCTGGGGAAGAGGAGGAGGAGGAGGAGGGAGGAGGAGGAGGAGGAGGAGGAGGAGGAGGAGGAGGAGGAGGAGGAGGAGGAGAAGAACTGATGACGACGAGGCAGAGGAGGAATGGGGAGGGGAGGTCTGGACCCTTCCCTGGGGAGCCCCTGGCCTGCCCTCCCGCCGCGCACGCGGCGGCGCCCTGCCGGCCAGCTGCCGCGGCGGCGCGGCCCGCGGCGCCGGGCCCGCGAACGCGGCCGCGCCGCGCGCCGCCGCCGCGGCGACGCAGGCGGCCGCGGCGGCGGCCAGCGCTGCCCACCTAGAGGAAGAAAAAGCGGCGTAAACATACACTGTTGGCGCTCAACGCGAATCCTTGGATCCGCGCTGGGTCCCCCCGGCGGGGCCTCTGGCGCGCGGAGCGCGCCATGGACGCCACCGCGCGCGGATCTCTTTGGATCTGCGCTGGAGCGCCAGGGACGGCGCCGGAGGCGCCGCAGGGGGCGTCCAGCGCGGATCCAAAGAGATCCGCCCGGAGCGCCAAAAGTTTCTGTTCACGCCGTTCTCTCTTCTTTTCAACCACCGGCGGCGCGCTGGCGCCGGAGCCCTCGGTGGCCGCCGCGGCGGCGCCATGGGGCCGCGCCGCGGCCCGCGGGCGCAGTGCGCGCCAGGCTGCGCCACGAAAAGATAGACGCAGACGCCCTCCCAGGATTTCTGCTGCAGGTGCCTCCCTCTGTGTGTCAACAGCCGCTGGCTCTCGGTGGTGATTTCTGTGCCCCGCCACCCCGCCCCCGGAGGCCCAGGCACAATCCAGTGGGGGGTGTCTGTGTCTATTCCTCCGTGGCGGACAGGCGGCGGGGTGCCCAGCGCGCGCGCGCGCGCAGCCCTGCGCCTGGAACCGCGGGGCGCGGGTGGGGCAGTCGGGCGCCGAGGACCCCAGAAATCCAACGCACGGAAACGTTGTAACAGAAGCTTCCGCCGTTTCCGGCCTCCGGCCAGCCCTCGCCGCGACCCCAGGCCGGCCAAGAGACTGGCCCGGGACGAACAGCTGGCCCCAGTGCGAGGGTCAGGCCTGCTGGGGACTCTCTGGGCTGAACGTGAACCAGACACCAGAGCTCTGGGAAGCACGCGTGCAAACGAACGCCAGGCCTGCCCGGGCCCTGAGCTCGCGAAGGGCCAGCGCGGCCAGGGCCAGCACATTCCCTTCTCTATCTTTTTATAATCGGGGGGGGTGCGATCCCCCCCACCCCGAAGCGGGACCCCCCGGATTCGTGGCACGTGGGGAGGCCAGAAATCCTTGCCAAGGCGTGCACGCAGGCGGGTGGCAGTCCCAAGTCGATCATCGGAAGGCCCAAAAAGCACCCAAGACGGCCCAGGATGGCATCCAGCTAGCCTTGACCCCCGCCAGATGCCCGACGATCGCCCCAATGTCACCCCCCCAAAGAGACGTTCGAATCCAAAAACATGGATGTTTCATTAGTTGTTGTATGATTTTCGGACGCTCGCGAATTCGGCCATCCACGCATCCGAGAACTTTGGAAACGCACTGACAACCGCTCCTAGACGGCCCAAATGAGCCCCATGAGCGCCCGAAGCGGTCCCCAACTGCCCACAAGAGCACCCATGACCGCCCAAAACTGGCCCCACGACGGCTGGCGCAAGGCCTTGGAGACGCCACGGACGGTCCAAGATGGCATTATGCGGTCCAGGCCTTTGCTGGATGCTCGAAGGCGCTTCGAATGTCACCTCCAAGAGGCGCTCGAAACCTTGAACATCTGAATGTTTCTGTGGTTTCTGCATGCTTTTCGACTATGTCCTCATTCGGCTTGCCAAGCGTCCGAGAGCGCAGGCGAGGCACCGCAAACCTCTCCCGACTCCAGACAAGCCGTACGGGGGCCCAAGAAGGCTCCTAAACTGCCCACAAACGGCCGAAAACATTGTCAAAGCTCCGAACACCGCTCCCACTAAACCCAAACGCGCTTCCTGAATCCCCAGAGCGGCCCCGCGAGGGCCCAGGACGGCCCCCAAACTGCCCACGGGCGGCGCCCTGATGGCCAGGGGAGGCCCCAACACGAGCCACATCAGCGTCCTCACTCTTTAGGAAGGCGACATGAGGGCCCCAACCGACTCCCAAACTGCCCATAGGCGGCTCCATGACAGCCTGGGGACACCGTCTGGACGCTCCTCAACAGGGCCACCCAGGAATTCCAGCTCTCCAGGGCGCCTTCTCAACGTTTACCTAAGCGTGCAAACGGGCGAGCGGCAGTCCCCGAGGACAGTCCGAGGTGGCTCCGAGATGAGCCACAAGGCCCTCGCACCGCTTCGGCAAGCCCCCATGTCGATCCCTGAGTTCTCGCCTGCTCAGATGGCATTTCGTTCCGGAAAGCCGCACTCTCCCCACAACCGCAGGTTCGCATCCACTTGTCTGGAAATTCTGCTGCGGACTTCAGCTTTCCCATGTACGCCATTCCGAAAGCCCGTGGTCTCCGACTCTGACTACCTAGCAGACCACCCCAACCCAACCCGAAGACCCGAATTTCGGGTTGGGGGGGGTAAGGGTTCCGCTCGTGTTTTTTCGATGTTCCCCGACCCCCCCCCCACTTGAAATCGAGGGTAAATCTGAGCCTTCGGGTTGGGTTGGGGTGGTTTGGTGGGTGGTGAGACTCACAATCTTTGCCCGTCCCAAGTTGACTGCCCCCTTCTCCCCTTCCCCCGATTCTCCGTGATACGAGCGAGCGGGCACGCCTCACAGGGAGATGAGGACGGCGCGACACGCCAACCGCCCCAAAGCTTCAAGGAACAAGGTGCCTGGCGCGAAGCGCCAATGCAGCCTTGTGTATATTTATATATATATATAAAATAAATATATGTGTGTGTACCTATATACCATATAGAAATGTACAGGTATTGATATTTATGGGTACCCATACATTTATGTATCTACACATACAAGACTGCAGTGGCGCTTCGCGCCATGCACCTCGGTCCTTTGAGTTTCGCACGCGGGCGGCGCGCGTGCGTGTGCACATGCGCGCGCGAATCTGTGCATACATGGCATATGTGCGCATGTGCATGCACGCCATACGTAAAGAGACACACACACACATATGTATACATATATATATATACATACAAATATACGTGTGTAGATATACGGATGCACGTACGCACATACGTATGTACATGTATATATGTTCCGGTATATTCGTACACACATACATATATATACATATAACATGTATATGCGTTCACACATATAAGACTGCAGTGGCGGTCGCGCCAGGCACCTTAGTCCTTCGAGTTTCGCGCGCGGGCGGCGTGCGGGCGCGTGCACATTCGCGCGCGGATCTGTGCATATATGTCGTACGCGCGCACGCGCATGCACGCCGTACATATAAAGGCATAGGTGTGTAGATATACGTGTGTGAGTATACTGATGCACGTACACACACGTGTATATCTACACACATACACATATATGTATATATATATATATCCATGATTGCGCATACACGTGTCTCATGTCTACTTGGGCAGTTCTGCGTGTACACATATGAATGTCCCGAAACATGTACGCGGGCGTGGCCAGGGCAGAAACGCAGCGCAGGGCTCGCGAAAGCCGCAGGACTTGGGTAGGAAACGACATGGAGGACACGGCAGAAAGTTGAAAGGCGACTTGGGCTTACCAATGACCGTGTCTGTGGGACTATGAAGGGAGCCGTGTGAGGGCCTTAGGAGGCCTCGGGACCGTGTCGCAGCGGGGCTCGACGCTAAAAATGCTTTGCGCCGCCGAACGCTATTGGGAGGCCTCGCGTTCAGAGTGCTAACATCACGTGGACCTTATTGGAGCCTTCCGGAACGATCTGAAGGCCTCTGTGGGACGTGGTGCAGTCCCGTTATGGCTCGTGCCCGTCTTGGGGCGCGTATTGGCACTGTTGGGCTGTCTTGGAGTCATGTTCGGGCTCCTGGCCCGTTTTGGGCCTGTCTTGGGGGCCTCTTCGGGC